AGGTTTGGATGCCTAAATATTTCATGTGTGTTTTGAAATGCCAAGAATGTCTGCACAGCTTTTGCGTGAATACTGTATCGTTATCCAGTAGTGGTTTTTTGTTTTTGTTTTTTTTAAAAGAAATTGCCTTCTAGCATTTCAGGTGTATGCATTGCCACAGTATAAGAGCAGCATACATATCATATTATTTAATAGAATATATCAAGCTAAGCAAAGCAGAGATTTTCACTTTAGATGACCCCTACTTAAGTGTCTTATTCTCATCTCTCACTGTTCATTAATACATTTATGTTCAGCTTTGGGTTAGGTTTATGTAATCTTAGCTATATGACTCATCATTCAGAAGGCTTTTGAAGTTCCGTATCAGAAGTAGGAGAGGAAAAAAAAAAAACTTTAACAACTATTCTATCATCGTCTTCAATCATTTTTAACAGCTGGAAAATCTTGCTAGTGATGGCAAGTTCTGTCAAGAAAGGAAAACCATACACAGGCAAATGGATCACAGTGTAACTCTGGAGCTGTGTAACTGGTATGTTACACTGTAATTAGAACTCATATTTAGTTGTTCTTTTTTTTTGCAAATGTTTGTGCAAGTCTCAAATGAGCTAACAGAAAATTAGGAGTCAGCTCTGCGCTTCGATGTCCCCTGGGAACTTTGGACTGATTTAATTCAGCCACAAAATACTCAAGTACTGAAAATAACACATCTGCTTAATGACAGGATAAATTGTTCAAGAAAATTCATTAAATTAGAAATGAATACAAAAGCTATTAAAGTAATTATTGGATTTAACTAATCAGGACATTTGGAGTTAAGACTCTTGCTCTTGCTCTCTCTCTCTCTCTCTCTCTCTCTCTCTCTCTCTGTTTCCTAAGCTTCTCTGAGGACTCAGAATTTTACATACGAGCAAGTGAAACTCCAGATCTATTTCAGAATTATTGTTCTTATACTCCTAGATCTGTAAGATTGTAGACTGAGAACCTCAGACACTACCTTTGAATGGTACTGCCTGAAATGACAATTGTAGCTGACGGAGATGCCTGACCGACTCAGCCATTTGGTTGCAGCTCTTAGAGCTTGGGCATTTTTTTGGTAGAAAGTTCTCAGTCCAAATTTTGCATCACTCAAGGAATGAAGCAAAACTCATTTCTTTACTCAGATTTTTCCTTTACAAAGGTTATGCTTTTGCTGCAGTCAAATAAATGACTGCAACTCATGTAGAAATGCAATGCTAGTGTAAACTAGCTAGCTTGAGTTTAATGACAATGGAGAAGTTCAGAACCATCTAGCTGCTTTTGTGCTTATCCATGTTCTATCACACTGACCACACTGAGCTCCATGGCTCTCACTCCCCGCACGAACAGCATGCTCAGTTCTCTCTGCAGAACTACAGCCTCATATTTGACTGCAGTGTAATATGTACACGTTATGGCATTACATGAAGCTAATCTTGTATTGGCATCAGTTCTGACATAGGAAAGGAGAGAAGAGAGCTATGCATGTAGTGACAATAACATTGCTACATAAAAAAGCTGAGTAACATGCAATCGTACTTATCTTGAGAGTTTTAACAGTTTCAGTCTTAACTCTGAATTACATTGAGCTGAGGCCACACATGCAATGTATTTATTCATTTCCTTCCCGTCTCTGCTGCATGTTAAAGTGACATGACATAAGCAGCATAGGATGGCAGAGTGAAAGTTTCTGTTTCTAGTCAGAGAAACCTGCAGTCACAGCTTTCTATGCATTAAAGCATTAACACATTAAAGATCTTTTGAGGTCAAAGCAGGCCTTTAGAGCTGACCAGCCTAAGTCAAGGTCTCCATCACTGTATGGTAGAATTTCACAGGGACAGATTGTTGCACACCTGTGCAACAGATTAGTTATCTGTAGACACCGACGTACTGAAGTCAACTGTTGTATATTATATGATTCTTTCATTACTTCTTTTTTTTTTAATTCAGACAGTATCATATGCACTAGCAAGGCTAATTTCAGGGGAAGTCTTAAGGAACAGATAATGGATACTTAGAATACTTTTCCTAAAGTATTTGGTTACTCTTCCAATTAAACTGGATTTAAGTAAATCTAAGTCAGAAGCTGTAGTAATTGGACTACATAAAAGCATGATTCAACACATTTCTTTTGCCAAAGCAAACTGAATTCTCACTCAAATATGAAACAGGAATCTCAGGCAGACTGTTAGACGTGGCTAAAGACGCAGATATGGACTTGGAAGTCCATGAAGCTTCTCAGTGAATTTGAAGCCTAATTCACTACTGAGAAACCAGGTAGAAACCTCTCCGCCTGTTGTGCCTAAGTAATATTGAAATTCAGGACGCTCCTAAAATTTACATTAAACAAGTTTCATGTTTGAAATCATCAGGAAAATTTTACCTCTATAACAGGTAGAATGTGATTTTGTAGTGTTTTGGATCAGGGAGGCGGTCTACGTTCTTCCTTGGGAGAAACACCTTCAAATTCCCTTTTCCCTTGGTGAAGACAGCCTAGAGCTGACATGGGAAAGGGGTCTTTGCTGTCTGTACCACAGACTTCTTTAGGGCTTCTGAGGACAGTTGCTGTTGGCAGAGCCCCACTGCAGCTGGCAGAGCCCTAGGAAGCGTAGCTTCTGGGGGAGCATGTGTTACTGGAGGATCCTCAGGCAGTAGTTCAATGAGCACATTAAGCAGGCATAAGCCTGCACTGCTGCAGAAAGAATCAGTGCACTTTTCTCCTTCCTCTGGCTACTGGTTCCCATTTCCCCTCTCTCACCTCCTCCCTTATGCTGGAACAAACCACATAGTAAAACAAGTCAGGGAGCTGATCTGCACTTAAATTAACACAGCAAAAGAAAATAGGTGCTTTTCAGCTGGATCTGCCCCTGGTTTGCCAGTTTATCAAGTGGCTGCACAAACACTTATGCTGGTGCAAAAGAAGGAACAGTACAGAGACTGAAAGCGGCAGCTGAGTAAAATTGTTGCATAGGCTGCCTTGAAGTATTCAGTGAATTCAGCCCGAGGGTAAAGCTAAACACAAGGATGAGCTGACAAGTTTGTAGCTAAAGCCGAGGGCTGTCTTGCATCTTCTCTTTTCTCCTCTAGCCTCCGCATTGCTGCCCGTGGCATCACGCAGTCCCAGCCCCTGCCTTACGCTGGCCCGGGCACTCATCTGGAACCCTGCAGACTGGATTCAACTCATCAACCTAGCAAACTCTCCATTTTTTGCTAGGCTGGTTTTCCGACAGCTTAGGACTTGTACTGACCTACCGAAGGGTCTGTAAACTACCACCAACATTGCTAGAGAGGGATTTGGAGAAGTATTTCACCAGAGGGACGAAAACTGGGGGTAGGAAGCATGAACGATATCCCCTTCTGCTGGTGCCATGAGACTGGTTCCAGACAACCTGCACACGTTCACTCTTCAGATTTGGCTCAATCTATTCCTACTTCACTGAAAGCCTTACATTAGTCAGGGTATAAGCTGCTCTAAAGTCTTGATCTTCTAAGTAATGAGTATTCACGCCTAGTATGGCATTTAGCACCTAAATATATGCTTAAAGTTAAGATCAGAATGTGAGTTCAGTTAAATAAGAGAATAAAACGCTGGATGTTTCTTTAATTATAGTGTTTTCTGCCTCTACTCTGAAGCAACTGTAACATATTCTAAAATGCTCATTCACATTGGAAAAGACAGAGGAACAGTCAACATCTGTTGCATTTCATTCAGAGAACAAAAATAGAGCTTCCACTGCTAAACAGCAGAGCTGCACCTGAAGGGCAAGAAGTTTTGAGTTGTTGCACTTCAGACACCAATTTCTTATGTAATTTTACAGGTACTTACCCTCACTTTCCTCAGCTGTCTTATATATAAAATGGAGAACAAGAAGCAGAAGGGTGAGTCATCAGTATATGAATACAGGTACCCTGCTGCCCAGTTTTTCAATGACAGGTATTAGATAAAAGTGCTATTATTTACATCAATCCATTTTCAATTATATAAAGTCTGCTTGTGAAGCTTAGATAATGTGAGTATAAAGAACCTCAGTATTACCTTGGGTGCACTTTTTGTTCACTTTTTCTTTTAAGACATGACAAAGAATTACAGGATTCCAGGCTTGACTAGAAAAGATGAAGCTTTTTAAGTATTTGTTTAATGAGTTTTCCCTAGGAGACATTTATTTCACTCTTCCATGAGGAAAAAAATACTTTAGCCGCTTAAAATCCATTACTAACAACAACTGAAACGTCCAAATACAGACACTGCCAGGTAAAGATGTAATATTCATCCATTAAGGGGAGACTGTGGGGGAGGGGCATGGACATTTCTGATGGCAGTTCCCCTTATAGCTTTGAAAGATTTTTAGTCTTGGCTGTTTTGAAAACACAGGAAGAAATTTTGTGGAGCTTCAAGTTACAAACTTCAGAGACAATTTTGAACAATTTATGGCCAGAGCCATAAATGTAGGTCTCGGTGAAATTAGACATAGGTAAGAGGGAGATTTTTTTGGAACCCATGAGCCCCAGGACTATAGGAATTTCTATAAAGATTGCTTCTCAATCTGAGGAAGACGTAGCTGACTTGACCTGATCATAATAAAAGTTTTTTTTTCAAATGGCCATGGGCACTGGTTGTCTATAGAAAAAAGAACAACAATTTGTACTCTTTTCTTCATTTAATTTGTGTCTAGTCTAATTGAAGACGTTCCCATGATCCATCTAAAGCTCTTTTAGTAATCTTACTGATATCACAAGTGGGAACACAAGAACTTGTATTACAGTTAAACGTCTGGCAGAACTTTCTCTAGATCACTCATTCTTAATAGCTTCCAGTATCTCAGAAATGTCACTCAATATTCCTAAATTTTCATAAAGACGTAGAGACCTTAAAAGTTTTGACAGAAAGCACCACTGGGTGTCTTCAAGTCTAAGAAAATTCTGCTTTGTAATGTGACAGGCTTTAAAACCAATTGTAAATATAATAGATAATAAAGGAGACTTACCACAACTATATACCGAGGCCTAAACTGGATGGTTCCAAACAAACCCAAAATGACAACTATTATTTGTAGGAAATTGCCAAGGATAGGAGCCCATTGGAAACCAAGGAAGTCAAAGATCTGTCTCTCTAACGCTGCCAGCTGTAAGAAAACACATAAACAGAACATCCACTTTTTAATTATAGGTGAGTCAGAATACTAGTATTTAGGTATTTATTTATTTATTTGTACTAGGCGTCACCAAACTGGCGTATGGCAAAATTCTGGAAATTATGGTTCTTAGGTGCATTCTTTATCATCGTTTTCAGTTTATTGCTGACTGAAGTCTGAATTTAGCTACTAGTCAGTGTATAGATTTCCTAGTGGTAAAGCACTGAGAAAACCTTAAGTTCAATAAAATATTTGCAAAACCTTCAGGTAATATAAAATTACCTCACAAACCAAACGTTGTCAGGTTTTCTTTTATCCTGGTATGCTGGAAACTGCAAGGCTTAAAAATATTTATTTACATACAGAATATGCCTAAAACAGAGGCTCACTTAGTCAGAGCAAGTTCATATGAACCTTGCTATAGTTACTGAATTATCACTATTCTCCTTCCTTCTCCATATCTTCCTTTTCTTATATTTAGTCTCAACCAGACTGACTGCAAGTTCTCTTCCAAGAAGGCAGATATTTTTATCAAAAAGGGCAGAGAAAGCTCAGTGGAATCCAAGACCTAGCTATGCAGGTACATTAGTGGGAATTCCCTAACACAGGAATTGAGGAAGAGTGCTGGCAACTCCTCACCAACTGAGGCATGGAAGCAGGACCAAGGAATTAAAGTCTGCACAGTACTGTAGAAAGCTAGAAGACCTTGGAGTAAGCTGCTCCAAAACTCCCAGCCTGAGAGCTATCTGCTGTCTTCCAAAAGGCTCTTAGGGTACTGCACATCAGAAAGACACAGTGGTAGTTTAATGGCTCTCCCCTTCCTGCTCCCTATCCTTTGTACTTTGGAGGTGGATTTATTTGGGTGTCAAAGAGGAGGGAGCTAAGAGGTAGCAGCCTTCCCAAATGCATCAGCAGGTGGTTCTGCAGTTAAAATTCTCCTCTTGATTATCCCCTCCAACAGTTTCTAAACGTTTCTGCAGTAGTGTCAGCATTATGATTTTTCTGCAAACTCCCTTTCCACTCATTTTTGACCATCCAGCCTATTGCTCTAAAGATACTGAGATCAGCTTTCTTTGCAGCACACTTGTTGAAGTTTAAAGCTGGTTCAATATTTTTTTTTCTCTGGCAAGACATTTTTGAGCAGCTAAACAGAATCCTACTGAGCAACAACTGAGTTTCTGTGCATGCCAGAATTTATTACCCTTCTACTTGATTTTACTACATTGTTACAAACCCTGAAATTTACTGAAATATGCACTTAAAATATTTATAACCAAGGCAGATGGGGTACGCATGGCCCTATGAATACCAAACAAACTATTATCATATGTGGGTATTTCACAAAGCATTTAATTTTACACATAATGGTCATTACCAGATTCAGTCCTCACTTACAAGATGCGGCTAGGTGTAGCTGACAGCAAAATCCATACTTGCTGCACAAAAATCATTCCATACCTCTGTAATGAAAATCTTATTCTCTGTGCTGAAGCTAATAAATATGATAAATCTAAACAACTAAATGAATTATCAAACAGTAGACTATTAATATTAAAAGAATTTTAGCCTGTTGGCCATAAAAGATGCTACTTTCTTAACAAAAACAATCTTATTCTTTTTAATGCTGTAGGTAGGGGTGAGTCTCAGAGGGAACAGCACTCCCATGTAAGTGAAGTTATTAATTCATGTGGCATTAGCTTTCTGTCCTACATTTGTTTACTTCATATTCTGCCTCCTCTTCTCCTTTACTCATTGCCCGGTACCATCTTAGTCAACAATTAATAATCTTCCTTAGGCAGACAGAAAAGAAATACAAAAGTTAATGGTCAAAATCAGAAAATGACATATTTACATGGGCCTTGGTGGAGTTTCAGTGCCTAACAGTACGATCCTGGGAACCACATTCAGTTGTTGCCTCTTCTAAAAGTACATGGGCTTCCTAACTGGGACACAACATCAGTGACCGCAGCGTCATTTCCATAATATCTTCACCTTACAGCAGATTCAGGAGCACCACAGTAACAGTCTAGTGGGGACCTCAGCAGGGAACCCTCAGAACCCCTCAGCAGTCTTTCAACCATGCTCCAAATGGGCTCCCTCAGGCAATTTAGGTGACCTAACATTTGCAACTACCCCTGTAGCTTCCCTAAACCACAAGATATGTCACACAGTGCAGTACAATGGTTCCCCAAACCTCATGCAGCATATGGTGGAGAGTTTCAAATGCTCAGGGTATTAAGGTTCCTATGTTCTATATCACCTAGGAATCTCATTTATCACATCCATGGCCAGAGCCAGAGCCTGTTTCATTCCAACCACTGCAAGTGGAGATCTGGGGTCAGCACAGCACCACATCATTCATGGGCCACCATCTTTTAAAGACAAAGTGTCTCTCCCTTTCCTTCCTGCAGCCTTGACATTACCAAATGAGCAGAGAATAGAGTTGCCAAATTGCCCTCGATTCTGCTTATTAGCCGCCTCTACCCTGCCATTCACTGAGATTCGCATGTAGTCAACACTTGTGTCTTCACTCACACCAATAAACTGAGCAAGCTTTGGAATACTTCCAGACACTGAAGCCAGCTGGCTTAGAACTCCACCCCTGCCCTCTAGTACAGTGTCCTTTTCTCCGAAACAGGGGGGCTATGTGCAAACTACCTACTCAAAATTGTCCCTGGACCTTGGGGGACCATTTCAGGAGACTGCTGGTTGGAATGAGCCCAGCTAACATGAGGGAACATCCCAAGCACACGCAATGGCATGCCGCTGCCTGGCTGCTTCCCCAGGCACACTTGAATTTGCTTGTGTAGAGAGCATATGGCTCTGCCAGAGCAGGAGTCGAGGAAAGTCATTTCACGTAGACGGTTTGCTGCTAGAGATAGCTACTCTTAGATATTTTATGCAGTGCTGAAACACCTACAGCAGTCTGAAAGACAAAAGTCTGCGGCAAAGATATAAGTGAAGCTGTATAGTGTGCGTGTCTCCTTAATCTGGTCCTTAGGAACAATCTCTCAGAGCTGTGTAGATCTGGCTTGACCTACATGACTTTAAAGTACCTTAATGCATGAAAGACATACCACTGCAATGCCAACAAATGTAGTCACTGCACTTTTCCAATAGACCGATATTAATAATAATAATAGGCCTAGTACTCAGCTCATGCCTAAATTGGATCAGCAACAAGGTTTGCCTTCATCTGTCTCTCCCTGATTCCTGCCAAGAAAGCTCAGAGAACACCAAACAGGACTGGCCTCCTACAAAATATAATGTTGGCCGTGAGTTTCTTCCTAAATATACAAATGTGTATATACACCATATACGTACACATATAGAATAAAAATTAGCCCTTTTATAGCTTCCTGTGGCAAAGGCACCCACTTCAAACACAGAGGAATGAGGTTCAATGTCCTCTACTGCTACCTACTGAGGAAGTACCCTAGGGCACCAAAGGGGACAGCTTCTACTTGAAGCTGTGTCACTGGGAAAAAAAAAGAAAAGAGAGTACAAGCAAAAAAAGTGAGTCTATAGCCTACTCTGCTTAGGGGACTTATCTAGGATTGGGAGAGTTGCTACTATTTCTTGCCTGCAGGGCTGTTTTTTCATTTTTATGTACACTGACAGCATGTGAAATACAGAAAGAGTCCTGGGAACAGGAAGCCAAACATATAGCACCATTCCTTTCCCACTGACAAGTGCTTTCACCACTGGGCTATGCAGTAAGACTTTCTTGTGCAGCTAAGTCTCATTTATTTTGTTCTTGTCGCCAACATAGAGTAATTTGTCTCATCCCTGAAGCCCACAGAATACATTAGTAGATAAAAAAACTTAAAGAAAAGAGAGAGGTAGGAGGCATGTCTACCTTGCTCAGATTCCTATTCCATTGTAAATTATACAACCTTCTTGCAGATACTGAAGATAGAAGTTAAAAAACTAATTATTCATGATGATGACAGAGGAAACATATAGTTCTGCGTTCTTTATGCCGTGAGGAATATGCACTAAATAGAGATAATATGCAAGGGCTGCTGTTCTCATTTCTGTTAGTTATTTTACCCAAAGGAAATCCCAGAGGTCAAAGCCACAGACCTTCTAGCTTTGTGCAAATGAATAAAAGCAATCTCTAACCCAGTCTATGTTTTAGATAATTTATTGCACAGAAGTAAATGGAATGGGATGGACATAGGTTGTGGTGCACAATAACAGACTCTTTACGCAGACATGAAGAGCCAGTAATCTGCATTTGCATACATCCAAAATCTCTGCAGCCACAAGAAGCTATTAGAGGAGCTTACGTCATGCGGTGCAATTGGAAAGGAGCAGATAATATGACAAAAAGAGTTTCGAGTAAGAACTTGGAGCTATGTGTCTGTGAGTGCTTTGAAATGTTTTCCAAAATCATTTTGAAAATAAAGGGGCTTGTTTTCCCAAATACAATTTTTCCCAAGAGAATTTCTGTTTTCATCACCATTTTTAGATTCTCCCGAGAAATGCCAAAATAACTAAACCTGAAGGCAAGGTAGAGGTTTCCACAATTAACTGGCTCAAGTTCCCTGGATAGAAGAGGCAGATTGCAAGTTAGTAGGGTGGAAGGAGCTCAAGGTTGGTGAGATGGGGTATGTCTCATGTGATTGAGGTACTGTGGGGGGTTTACTGTCAGGTTGAAAGAGGCAAAGAAGTCACTTTACTTTCTTAACAGGCACATGTGTTGAGAAAGGCTAGCAGCTCCAGTGCTAGTGGTCTCCAAGCCAACAGAGGTTAGGAGTTTCTCTCGCAAATTGTTGCTTGATGTTGTTATTTAATAATTACCAAAAAAGGGGAAAAAGTACCCAGACCTCTCTTGCAAATAAAAGAAGAGAGTCTTATGTCTGAAAACTAAATATTGGGGTTTATTTTTAGTGAAAACACTGTCCAGTTGTGTAAAAAATTTTCATGAAAACTTATAAAGAAATCAAAGTTGATTGATAGAAAATAGCATTTTCTTATCATGACAACACTTGGAAAAGGTGAAATATTTCTCATCAGTGCTCCCAAGGAAGTTATGCAGCGCCTTGTTACTCATCATCAACACCAACAATCCTACATTGTATAGAGCACAACTCAGTAGACTGGTAGTAGCAGTGAAATGCTCCAGTGGGACTGTGTTAGATCACTTAATGAAGATGTGCCACATTTTTCAGGTTATTTTACCTCTTTGTTTCACTGAGTCTATCAAATATCACCTGCATCCCTCGTTCAGCAAGGAAACGGTACAGAGAAACAGTAACACCGGGCTGCCTTAAAGTTGTATAGCTAGACTGAACTTTCTCATCTGGCCACGGCCAAACCTTTTTGTGTTAAGAGCGGGAAGAAGTTCAGGTCAGCAAAGCTGTCTGAATTTTGAGCTTCTTCACTTTAGGTGGATAACCGGATCCATACAGCACATCTGGGAAATCTCAAATAGAAATATGGCTGCTGTAGCCTTAGTGCCCCATATGCTGCTTATGGTGAAGTAGTAACAAAATAAAGGGTGAGGCAGCAGCCAGCAATGCTCTGCAGAAAGAAATTGTCAGGATATTCCTGGTGAATAGAATAGAGAATAGAGTGATCAAAAATACTAAGAGCAAGTTCCAACCAACAGCCTCTAGGGAACAAAACCCTCTTTAAATGCTCAGGTCCTATTATACTTTAGGAATACATATTAGAAGCTGTCTGAGTGATGTGCCACCACAGCAGAGTTAGGAAGTCAACCTTTCAAAAATTTAATTCCATCTTCTGTCAAAAATCTCAGGGAAAACACTCAGTTTTATGTTTTAATAGAAAAGATTTTGTGTAAGGGAGACATTAGTTTTAGAAGAATAAATAGATCTACACCCTTCATAGCAGAAAGAGTTACTGGATCAAAAAAAAAAAGTTTTCATACGTAACAGATTATTTTAGACAAGGAAATACTTTAAAAAGACTTAAAATAAATATAAAAATATAGAATTTCTTCCTATAAAAATAAAATATAAATGGTATATAGAAATATTTGTAAATCTGATATCATATAAATTGCTGAGTTTACAAGACTGGGAAAGTATAATCTCCAGATTTGATATTAAAAATCTGCATCCGTTTATCAAGCAAGATAATAAGCAATAAGTAATTATATTAATTAATTATAAATAATGAGTAATTATAACAGCTACTAAAGTGTCCATTCAGTAGCTAGCAAACTTGTATTTAAGTAAGTAACCTAACAGCAATCATGAAACTAGACATTTACAACTTCATAGTTGCATAATTTGTATAGTTTTGAAATCTTTTTTGAAATAAAAACAACTGTAAGATCTATTAAACTCCCGCACAATTAATAAGATTTCCCAAATCAACTATGTGCTTTCCCAGCTTTCAAAAAGGAAAAAAGTTATTCACAGAAAATGGTGAATTCAAAAATTATAGCCTGGAGGATTCATATTTTAAGTTCAAGTCAGGAATTATCTAGAACAATTGAATTATTTATATAAGACTCCATTCTGGCTTACAATACTAAAATTTATCAGAGGAGGAGATCTAAGGCCCAGTTCATTATACATACTAACTAATGTTTCTAGAGATAAGATTTGCATTTTCTTGAGAGATGTTTCATTGAGAAAACATTTTTGTAAAATTTTGAGGCAAATCCACAATGTTCACATCCTCCTTTGGAATTACCTTGGAGAATAAGCACTTTCTAATTTAAGGGAAACGAAATCATCAAAAAACTCCCAAATTAGTCTAGCTAAAAAACACTAT